TTCGAGATAACCTTTGACTTGCAAAATTTTTCCAAGTTTTTCGGCCACCATGATTACACCGAGCTACGATACCTAATTGATCGATATATTGATTTTTCGAACTAGATAATAAGTATTATGTTCTTCAATTTGCTTTCGGACAAAAAACATTCATTTGCTTTTTATATAAATTATCAGCTATTTTTTTAGTCCTTCTCACACCCCGCAGATCCTTCATTTTTTTAGCTTAAAAAAATGACCCTCTGATTGGCAGCATCCACCCAGACCTTGAACCTCAAAAACCATTTTTGAAAGCCCTATCCTGAGGGCTTTCAAAAATGGTTGTTGAGGTTAGAAGATCTGGGTGGATACTTGGCGGACTTTCAGTACTTTGGTGGGCGGAGCTCGATAAGGTGGGCGTGGCTTTATAGCACTTTCGCAGGTTCGATGTTCAATTTCTCATTTAGATCTCACATCAGAGGACAGGACCAACACATATGTCCTACTCTTAGGGCCTTTTTGTAAACTAGGTACTAATCGGGAAAGCACAGATTTTGCCTAGATGCTTCCTCAAAAAATTAGCCCTACCGTACCTTTCGCCTCTCCATCCAGGCAGACATTCACATTGCCCTGTTGTTCTGTTGCAGTTAGCACCATTCATGCAGTCACATCGTAGTTCACAGTTCAATCCATATTGTCCGAATGGGCACACTAGAACATATGATTTTTTTTGTTTTTATGCATTTTTAGGTCATTATTAAAAACTTACAAAACTCGCATGCGGGTCCTGTCCATCCAGCAGCACAGGTACAATCTCCAGTTTTCGAATTGCAGCTACCATCATGCATGCACAAGCAATGATGAATGCAGTTGGCTCCCCATAGGCTTGGTGGACATTCTAAACATTGGTTCATTTTAATAGCGAAGAAAAATTTGTGGCAAGATTCGGAAAAAAAGAAATGGTCCAAGTTTTCAAAATCTCTCTCAAGGTATTTTTGTCAAAAATAGTTTTTTTGTCTAGGTTTACTCTCACCTGTTTCGCAGTTTTTTCCCATGAATCCAGCCGGGCAATCACAGAATCCAGTGAGACGATCGCAAGTTGCCCCATTTGAGCACTCACATTCGCTACTACAGCCAGAACCCCATCTAAAATTCAATACTTTTTAAACGTATAATAAACAAAAACAAGGGTATTTTTT